GCCCGCGACCCGGCCATTGGCCGGCGGCCGGCCCGTCTGCGCGCGCGCTCCGCGCTGGTCTGTACTCCATGAAGGGCCCATTAGCGCGGCAGGTGCCTCCCGGGCTGTAAATTTACCCCCTGATTTATCTCCCGGGGGACGAAATAAATCCCGCTGGATGGGAGTTTAGTTAGGCAAAGGTTTTAATGGGAAATCAGGAAAAAAACATGAGAACATATTTTATGGCCCGAAATCATGCAGATTTGAGAATCCGCCCGGCGCGGGCGGGGAGACAGCAGCGTGCGCCGCCGGAGGTCCTGGCCCGCGCCCGCCACGCGGTTGTCCCGGGGGTCCTCTCAAACGCGGGTGGGAAATACCCGCCGCGAGGGGCCCGATCCAGAAAGGCGGGAGACCTGAGCCCTGGCTCCCAGACTCCAGGCGCGGGAGGAAGCCGCGCCTCGGAGTCCAGCTGCAAAGAGCCAGCCTTGCCCGCGCGAATCCGCTTCCTGTTTGATAATCAAACGGCGAGCGCTCTGGGTCTTCGCGGTGGCGGAGCCAGGTAGCGGGGGAGAGGGCGAGGGGTCACGCGCACACGGGATATATACCACACGCGTGACGCCGCCTCGCGGGCGCCGCTGGGCGTCTTTCCGTCCCCCCCGGCCCGCGTCGGGGGGCGGAAACGGCCCGGGCCTCTCTATAGGGCGTTTCCCGGTAGCGGAGTCGCAGCTCAGTTGCCGGGAGGTAACCTGAGCCCTGTGCTGCAGCCCGGCCCAACGACTTCGCCCAGGGTCGTTCTCCCACGAAGCACAGGCCCGGGCGAGGAGAAGGCCGGGCACCCCCGCAGGCCTAGAGCACCGAAAGCAGGGGGCGCGGGGGTGCCATTCAGAGCCTTAACTTGGGAGCCGCCCGAAGCGCAGCGGGCAGAAGCGCGGCCTTTAAATTGGCTTGCAGGCCTATGAGGCCTTTGGTGTCTTCCTCTGTGTACGAAGAACCCCCGCCCTGCAGAATTGCTGTGAGGGTTCAAATGAGACCACAGTCGACTCCAGCGCCTGGCGTGGAGCAAATGCTGGGCTTTGTCGCCATGTCCTAGGGGCTGGCGTCACGTGCGCTCACCGCGTCTTGCAGTCAATATTAACTAACAGGCAGCGGCTATTACTATTATTTTCTCTCTGGGAACCGTGACCCGAGTGTGCGTGAACTGACCACCATTTCGCGGCCGGGCACGGTCAGCTTTTCTCCAGCCCGAGGAGGTTCATTAGCAACGATTTTCCTGTATCGCCCTGGCCGCCAGGGTTTCTCTGTCGCGAGCGAAGGCGACCCTCGCGGTTCTGTGCAAGAGCCCCGCGTTCGCTCGCTCCGCACCCCTCGAGGGCTTATTTTCGTTTTGTGCAGCTAGCGAAGGGGGTTGGCGCTACGGGTCCCTACGCAAGGTCGCAGTCACGGCTTGGAGTGCTATTCGCTGCCCGGACTTCGGGGTTGAGGCCTCAGCTCGCTCTCAACCCACGTCCCGGCGGCGCTGGGCGGGGCGCTCCGTGGTTGCCCCTGCCTCGCGTGGGCGCGCACCGGGTGTTCCGGACGGCGTGGCATGGTGTGGCGTGGCGCGTGGGGCCCCTGCTTCTGTGAGGTGCAATTATAGGGCGGGAGTTCGCCCCCGGGGCTGAGCTGCGCGCTCGGAGGCTCCCTCCCCCGCCCCGCTTCCCTGCACAGTACCGCACTCGCGGGACCCAGGCGCGGCTGCCCCGCAGGCGACCGGCCCGAGCGGCACCAGCCTGGAGCACCAAGAGCGCCGGCTCCGGAGCCCCTGCAGTCCGTGGGCAACCAGTCTGAGCGGCTCTGGGACCCGTCCCCGGCACCCACCCGGGGGACCTGGGGCTGGTTGAGCCCTCCGCCGTCCCCGGACTTCCTTGCGCACCACTTGGTCGTAGGAAACACGGCGCGTGTCTGCCCGAGAGCCCGGCCGCAGGGAGGACCCTCCCGGGGCATTGTTTGGGCCCCTTGGGGCTCCCCCGGGGGCGGAGGCGTCGGGCCAATGCTGGGGCTCTGCGAGGCGCCGGAGGAGGGCGAGAGCAGCGGCGGAGGGCGGGGCCGAGTGGGGGAGCGAAGGAGGTGGAGGACAGGGGCGAGGCTGGAGGGGCCGGGCAGGGGGTGGAGGGGAGGAGAGGGGCGTGGTCGGTGCGGAGTCGGATGCCCTCCCGGAGCTCCTGGAGGGTGAACTGCTGAGCCGATCGCGGGTGGCAGCGGCCCGACGGTCCTGGGGCAGGCCGGGGGGAGGGGCACGGAGACCCGGCTCCCGGGCGGGATGGGAGTGCGCGCTGTCCTGCAGAGTTCTCGCGACCCCGGCTGGAAGCTCCTCAGTCCTCCGGCGGGGGCCTCTCGGAGCCCTGTTTTGCGGCCCTGCGCCCCTGAGACCCCGGCTCCGTCTGCGCAGCCAGGCTCTTCCTGGGCCGCGGTTGGAGCGCGCGGGGTCGCTAGGGCTGCTGCGATCTCCATTGGCTGCAGCGCGCGCGGCTCTCCTGGATTGGAGGCGCCGGGGTAAATTGGGGTGAGTTGGGGGCCTGGATTGAGGAATGGAGCCAGCCGAGGACCCCGGGGTTGTGGGGTGGGAGATGCGGATGGGAGCGAAGTGAGTTCGGGGTGCGGGAGAGGTGGCCGGGGTGAATGAGAGCGCGGGGGTGAGTAGGGGCGGCTCCTTTTCCACCCGCTTCTGGCCACGGGGGTCGTTCCCCCACCTTCTAAACGCTGTGGGGTCCCCCCTTCCCCCAGTGCCGCAGGCCGCACGATGACTGCTCGTTAACTTGAGCGTCTGCTGGCCTGACGCCCCGTGACGCCCCTACCTGGCTCCATCCCGCCGCCCCGCCGCCGGGGACAGGATCCGGGCAAACGTCCCCCCCCCCCTTTCCGGGACAGACCCAGGAGCCGCGTGCGGCCTCCCGGGATGGGGATTCGCGAGTGCCACCTCCTGGCCTTGAAGGAGACGTGCTGCCAACGAGGACAGCGACAGACAGCAAGGATACGACCACGGACAGCTGTGTACTGTGCGCCCCTACCGCCAGGCGGGCCCTGCGGGCGGCACTCTGGGGGGGCCGCCTCCCCAGCTTACCTGAGCGGGGAAAACAAATCAACAAGTAGGAAGGTCGTGAGCAAAGGGACTGAGCAGGTGGCGATGGGAGGAGGCCGGGGAGGGACGGCTCCAGATGGGTATCCCTGAGGAAGGTCTCCAGGTGCCGCCCCGGTCAGGACAGAGCCGGGCTCTGGGGGCGGCTGTACTTGAAAAAGGAGTTTGGGTGCAGCCCCCGGAAGCCCCCAAATCCCCGTAGGTGAGATGTGTCTGTGTGTGGGTCTCTGGCGAGTTGCTGCACCGGCCTCCGGGTGACCTGGCCAGGGTATCTCCAGGCACCCCTCACTCTCGTGCCTGCCCGCGGGCAGCAGCCCACTGTCACCGCTTCTCAGAGCCAGTTCCCAGCCTCGCTGAGACAGGACGAGACCACCCAGGTGTTCAGAGACAGGGCTGGTCAGGGCTTCCGCTGAGGTAACGCAGAGGCGACCCTTGCAGCTGCCACCCCATCGGGCTCAGGGGGTGAGGGGAGACGTGGGTTACCAGGGCCCTGGAGCCCGCAGGAGGCCCCCTCCCCAGCTGGAGCTGAGGGTCAGGGGAGAAGATGTCACTTGTGGCGCAGGTGCCTCTGAGGACGTCAGCAAGGGTGGTTCTGGAATTGCTGAAAGAAGCAGGGGACTGGAGCCAACTTCTCCCGCCCCCCGCCCGGGGGCAAAATGCCCCCCTAGGGGCGACCGTGTGACGTAGCGCGAGAACGAAGGCGCCTCCCTCCTCCGTCCAGCCTCCCTCTCGCGCCCTCTACTGGCCGCCCTGCGCAGAGCAGCCTGACTCCGGATCCCTGCAGCGAGGCGGGGGG